GGTGGTCTAGCGGTTAGAACGCTGGCCTTGTAATCCTGGGGTCTCGGGTTCGATTCCCGGCGGTGGCCGAATTTATAACTTGTGGTGGGCAAGGCCGTGGTCTAGGCAGCCCGGAGTTTTCCTCCGTGGCATCCCAACACTTACTCCATTCACACACAGAAGAAGGCAATGGCAAACCACTTCTGGATCATCTGCCAAGAACGTATATGAACAGGTCCCAGTCCGAGAAAAGGATGGAAGGATCCTGTTCATATGGACCTGTCGTCAGACAGAACACTAAATAAATAATAATAATAATAATAACATTACCTTACCTTACATTACATTACCTTACATTACATTCATCTACCACAGACCCATCTTAAGCGTAACTAATTCAAGTTAAATAAGCAAAGTCTTAATCAAACTTTACTCAATTGTAAAGCATGTATAAAGGAAATATTTAGAATAAAGCCAATATATAAACTTCCTTTCCGTATAGACGTATTTACGTCAAATTCTCCGGAACCGTGGTTCCACTATCACTTTTTTTCTTCAATTTTAGTTTGGATTTAGATAGACAATCCGAAATATTTCAATTTTCCGACACTTAACTCAGGCCACAAACTCTATACCTAAGCTCGCTGACATAATTACACGCAACTACTCGGCACGGCCTTCTACATTTTTACGAATATTTATTGCGTCATTTTATACAGGATGAATGTCCAATACCTTAGAATGCCTGTTATGCAATCCCGCACAACCGTTATACACTCGTACATTAAAACATCAATTCTTATTTCCCATTACAGCACGTGTTATTTCTTCTCTTTTTTTAATTTATTTGCTTCGGTATGTACATTATTCCATCCTTTCTTTTCTGAACGTGACTGTATTCCATACTTTTTTTTACAAAGGCTATATACTATCAAACCATCAACTGGCTCTTACTTGGTTAACGCACAGCGTACATTAAAGTACATCTTTATTTCCATCATACCAAGCGCTTGAAACAGCAGCACCACAAGAATACTTTAATAGGTTGTTCGGGACTAAATAACATGAAAAAATTAGAAGACACTGAAAAATCTCTCCGTACATCGACATGGGAATTTAGTAGAACCGTTCTGAATATAACAGATTGGATTACGGGAGAGAGAATTACAGATATGCAGTGCAGGCAGAAAAACTAAACCATTTACTTCCTAGTCAATGACTTTTTTTATATATATATATATTTTAAATAATGTATTTACAACGTCTTAAAACTCATTCTGTATGGAAATATATGAGGATTGGCGAATTTCAAGGAGATACCGAAACATTTTATCTGATCCTTTGAAACCACTGAGGGTTTAACCATAAGTACCAAGCAATTTTTTTTATTATTAGTGTTCTGTCTGACGACAGGTCCATATGAACAGGATCCTTCCATCCTTTTCTCGGACTGGGACCTGTTCATATACGTTCTTGGCAGATGATCCAGAAGTGGTTTGCCATTGCCTTCTTCTGTGTGTGAATGGAGTAATTGTTGGGATGCCACGAAGGAAAACTCCGTGTTGCCTAGACCAAGGCCTTGCCCAACACAAGTTATAAATCCGCCCTTTTATGTAATGGACACAAACTTTTTTGGGGTGAGGGCAATCAAGAGGATATTTCAGTTCACACACTCATGTTTTTCTACAACTGAGGTGCTCTTATTATTTTGACATTTTCAAGGTGCCTGCAGTCAACTGTTCTTGGGGTGGAAATCTGCAAGACTTGAAGAAGCATCTCACAAATTCGCACAAAGAATGGACATACGAATACAAGGGAAAATTTATGACTGGCTTGGTAGACATCAAGCCTGCTCGAAGGTACTGCTACATCATATTCGCTTACGGTGAAATATTCTATCGATATTTCTCAGTAAAGAACGGTACTCTCTATGGAGTACTGCAATATATAGGCCCAAGGGAAAATTCAGCAAAATATCGATACAAGATGATTTTCGATAACAAAGACGATATGGGAAGTATATCGATATGCCATGTGACTCAAAGTTTTGTGGACAGTATGGACGATATTCGAGAAACTGGCAAATGTCTTAAATTGCATTTTGATGTTGTCAAGAATTTTGTGAACATGAAAAATAACTTAAAGTTTCAGATGGAAATATCCAAAAATGAATACCACCGTGGCGTTACCAAACAATATACAAATAAATTATGTACACATTACTTTTAACAGTACTGTATATATGTTAATGGACAATAGGCAAGTGCAACGACCTAATCACTGCCAATTATCAAATTTAGTGGCAATTATTCAGAAGGGCGAGGTCGACGTACGAGATTTTCTCGACATACTTAACTCTTTCTGCGTCTGTGGATTGCAAAATTGTACTCCGATTCAAAGTGCACAAACGTTTAAACTTTGAACTTCATACTCAGTATACGATTACAACTCAGATATTACTGCGAAGAAAATACGTACATGACGAGGAAAACAAAGAGCTAAGGACTTCAGCACCGAACAAGCAGGCAAAGAAGAACCCACAAAGCCGTAGCCAAGAATAACAAGGATTACTCTGTTCCACGGAGTAAGTTAGGTTCTAATGTTTGCATTACTCCTTTAAACTATGTATCAGTCATACACTTAAAGAATATGCAAAAATTAACAGCTTGTCACAACGGCCCGGTAAATTTCTCCTACAAAAATACAAACCACATCTCACATTCTTTCCGTTCTCTTGTTTCGAGACAAAATTATATGAAATATATAAGAGCCCAAAAGGGCTCCGTGGCCAAATTAGTTTAGAAAATACTGATTTACACTAAACTTGGCCCACTTCCTGCCAACAGCCACTGAAAAGGACAACGTGGCCTTTGCACTCATGGCCAAATGTGGGCTTTGCATTCGATACAAGTTTGTGAGTAGAATGAAAACAAACACATATACTATATAAACCAAAGACATTATCGACAATGGAAATAAGACAACGAGCTACAAAATACTGCCGCTGGGAAACAATGTTAATAGCACGGACAGTACACGATTCCTCTTATGGCACCCCTCTGTCAAACCTATCATTTACATTTAACGGTCCTTGGGCGCACAGATTCTTCCCGAATACAGTACCTTGTTCAGTGAGAAGACTGAATTAAAAGCGTGTTGGTTCGATCACTCTCGTAGGCCAACTCCACCTCAGTCACTAGAACCAAGTTCCACTAAGGCCAAAGGTGTAACCGTACAAGGCAATATTCCGACACAGCAGCACATTTTAAAAGCTAAGATATGGAAGACTTATCTTCACCACACGACTTATTTCAAAACTACACCTAAAATTTCAGGTGAAACTGGGTTTCTGGGTGATAAGGGTAATACAAGTTGGCAATGCATACGAGCAGCCAAGCAGAGATAGTCAACAGGTATTACAGCAACCAAACTGGTTCACGTATGTTTTTCCTGTTACACCCGAAATCCGTTCAAACTGATTCTTCCTAAGGTAAACTAGAAACTCCTGTCCCTATTAGGAGTTTGGTTAGGTTTCGATAGTTTTGCCTAGGACAAACTAGTTTGGGCGGACTTCGTGTGTATCACAAGACCAATTGAGATTTCAGGTCCTCACGAGCATGAATATCACTGTCTTCTGGGTTGTTGCGCCTTGTAGTCTGGTGGATGTTTACTGTCTGAGTCATCATGGCGATAAGTGCCTATGAAACGTTTGTAAACAAAAACAC